ACTACTATACCATTTTTAATATGACACTCGAAGAGATTTAAACACTTGCCCAAAGTCCAACAGCTGGAAAGTGGTGAGACCCTGGCGGGCTGGCTCTAGAAACTGTGTTCTAACCACTGTGAGACACTGTCTCCATGGTGGTCCTCCTTCTCTCCCACAGATAGTACGTGCCTTGGGTCAGTGTTTCTCAAAGTTCTTGGTGGCTAATTAGATTTGGGAAATGCTGAGTTTAACCAAATAAAACCCGTTACTTTACTTTTCAGAGCCAAATGCACACTGCAATTCTGTAAAGTTGGTAGTTGAAGAGGATTTAGCATTTCCCAGATTTATTTGTTTGAGATTTGTATAGATTAAGAATGGGACTGGTAGCATAAAACATATAACATGTATACATTATGTGTGTGCATATGTAGATATAAGCCTTATAACATGCCAATACTGACTTAAGCAAATGTGTGTTTATTTGTCCTATATAACAAGAAGTCTGGGGTGAACAGTCCTGGGCCAGGCTCATCTGTCTTTCCCTTTCTCCTCTACTATCCATAACAAGCTGCCATTCATACTCATGGTTGTCACCTCATAGACACCAGATTTTGCTGTACCTCCAGGCCTTACATGTGTTTTCCAGGGAGGGAGAGAAAGGAAAGAGGCAATCCCAACACTCCCACTTATATTTCATTAACCAGAGCATTGTCACTTGGCCACCCTACGTAACCACTCCTGGCTGTAGGCAGCCTTTGAACTGGGTTTTTTACTTTTAATCCTCTGTCTCAGTAAGTTATGATGTGGTGATAAACTACAAAGGTTGATTTCTTGCTCAAGTGACATGTTCATCAGCTGCAGGTCAGCTGTGGCTCTGCTCAGTGCATCGTTTTCATTTTGGGGCACAGGCCGAGCGAGCCACCCCTCTTGGGGCCATGTACTTCCTTCCCATGGTGGAGGAGAAACGGAGGAGGCAGAAAAACATGATGGCTCTTAAAGACTCTACTCAAAAGTGGCATCTGTCACTTTCCCCCACATTCCATTGGCTAAAGCAAGACATATACTAAGGCACATATGAATGACATCAGTCATAATACTGATGTGAATAGGACAGAGAAATATAAACCTCTAGCAAAAAGCATTGCAATTGGTTGGGCATAACAATATAATCTTTCCTATGTAATAAAAGGAGCCAGGTGAGAATAGACCAGAGATGGAAGTTGAGTCCACAGTCTATTGTCTGCCACAGGACACACACACACACACACACACACACACACACACACACCACCACCACCACCACCACCACCACCACCACTACCACCACCATCACCACCACCACCACCACCTCTACCACCTGTTTATTTGTTTATGTTCCAGAGCATTTCACAGGATAAGTATTCACATCCTTTGGGAACTGTGGTCTTGAGCCACATTGTGTCCCTTTGATAAAATATCTACCTTTAAAAACATCCTGGTTGAAATACTTAACCTTTAATGTGGACTGTAGTTCCATTCATCATTATAATAGATTCCACTGTAATTGCACAGATGGCAATCTGTGTTACAGACCGCTATTAGCAATTTCTTGTCATACATTAAAATCCACTATTTTGACAAGGTAATATACGTGAGCAATGTTTATTTTCAAGCCAAGAGAATTTCAGAAAATAGAGTCATGTCTGGTTATTAAAGCTTTTTTTTTCTTTTCTTCTGAATCAGGTGCTATCATACCATGCAACGTGTTCAAAAGCTGAAGTTGACAAGTTTAAGGTAAGGAAGCACATCATCCCCTATTGGGGCATAAAGAGAAACTTTACATGGCTTTCTGACTTTTTGTCACTTGCCTCTGTATAATCAGTCCTACCCACTGACTGTGTTTGTATATTTCAGTTTTAGAGTAGAAGAGAGACATATACAACTGAGTAGCCCCTTCATGATTATTTAAATGGTTCAGTATTTATTTATTTCCAATTGTTAAGTAGGAGGATATCAGAAAAAAACCTGCACAAAATGATGAGAATCAGGGTGCTTTGTTTTGGCATTGGTTTTACCTATAACTTTCTGTTTACTTAAAATCTTAGGGCCTATATCTTCATCTGTAACATAGGTGAAGAAATTACGATAATAATACCTAACATTTACCAAGAGTTTACTATGGACCAGGCACAATACAAAGCATTTTGCCTGTATTAATTCATTTGAGTGTCATAATCCTATGAAATATGTGCTATTTTACAGATGAGTAAACTGAGGCACAGAGATTTTGAGTAGACAAGCCAAGGTCAAATGATTCTAAGGAGCATAGCCGTGTAAGTCTGGCCCCAGAACTGAAGTTCTTAACCACCAGGCTTCACTGCCGCTCAGCATGACCCCCGTCCATCTCCAACCACCTATGAGTCTGTGAATGAGCCTTAGATATTCTTTTTCACCTTAGTCTCCACCACTCTCTCAAAGGCAGCTCAGAATTCTTGCTCGTCTCTCAGGCTTCTACAAGCCATGGTCAAAGCCTGGGAGTACAAAGAACCTGATTTTTCTCCCTTTTGAAAGGTTTGGTGTCTACCTTTTTAAGTTTTTGTGGAGGTTCAGAGAATTATCAAGCAAGCTACTGCACCCATAAAAAAATGTATTGTAATATTTGTATGTAATAATACTTAATGATGACTACACTTCTAAGAGTTTCATTTGCATGTAGAAGCATTTGTCTCCCCAGGAATAATGGCACAGAGAGAACTTTGGGCCTGATATTGAATCAGATCATTAGATTTGAGTGACACTTTAATAAAGAAAGGAAACAAGGGAAGACCCCAAACTCATGGTAATGATGAGGGAACTGTTTGGAAGGACAGTGAGCACACAGTGGGCAGAGGTGAGCTGTCTGGGCTCCATCCAGGGGCATGGTTTCATATTGGCTTGGAGAAATGCTTGGGAAAGACCTGCTCTGGTGACCCAGAGTAGAAGGAGAGACATGGTGCCAGCAGGAGGTGACAACTAATAAGAGAGGAAGGAGACAGACAACCACAGGAGTCAGGACCTATTTGTTGTGGAGATAACATCCTAAATACNCAATAGCTTTCACCAGCTCCTCCTTCCAGGAGAAAGCTGCCTCTCCTGTCCTCAATGTCAACTCAGTTCCTCTCCCTGAAGTCAGACAACTCATTTCCTCCTCATGTTTCCCTTTTGCCTTTTGAGCTGCAGCCCCAGCCCTGGAGCTCAGAGCAAGTGAGCCCATCAGCAAGTAAGTCCATGCACAGGTCCTTTAAGAGGAGGGCCTGGGACTGTAGTCACCCTCTGTCTCATTCAGCCACAATCTCTGCTGGTTTTCACAACCAGAAGTTATGGGAATTTCTCTTCCTGGCACTGGAACCCTGTGCTGGGGAGCCTCTTGAAGCTCTGGGACCCCTCGCTCCTCCCTGGAGGACCTCCAAAGCCAAGATATCTCTCCAGATTTTTAGTGGTCGCATGCAGGTGTGGAACCAGCTTGTTCTGTGTTTCTGCCCCTCCTACGAGTCTCAAGGTGACTTCTTCTGTGTGTCTCTTGTTGCAGGGCAACAGTTCAGCTAGACTTCAGGTGATTCTCAATGATGGTTGTTTTATAGTTTAGCTGCAATTTTGATGTGGTCGTGAGAGAAGGTGAGCACAGGGTTTACCTCTTGACTGGAAAAAAGGGGAGGTCGTATTTTCAAAACATACATTTAACAGAGGACTTGTATCTAAAAGATACAAAGAATTACAGCACAATAATAACAAAATAAAAGAAA